TACCTGTACTTTTATGATCATCATTTACATTTTACAGATGAGAAATATTGAGGTTCAAGGGATTAAATAATTTCTTCAAGGGGCCCCTAACTAGTAAGAGGAGGAGATAGGTCTTCATCCTAAGGATGTTCAGATGCCACCGGGCAGATGGGTCAGACACTGCCGACTTTCACAACGGGACCCTGGGGCCAGGGCTCCGCCCCCTCCATCCCTCGCCCCGCCCCCTTCTTCCCTCTGCGCAGCTGAGGTCCGAGACTGCGCACGAGAATGCCCCGCCCCTGCCCCGCCCACTCCCGCTATCACCCCACCCCTCGTCCACGCCCCGCCCCTCGCACTGCCGCGCTGCCGCTGACGCCCGGCCGCGCCCGGAGGGAAGCGACTCGCTCCCGACGCGCGGACCCGGCGACTTCTCCTCGCAGCAGATACTCGGACGCGCTTCTCCTCAGACACGGCGCTAAAAGTAGGGCGCAGCTTGACGCCGGGCGGTACCGAGGGCTGTAGGCGGGTGGACGATGGGAGCCAGGCCACCCGCATCCCCACATGCGCCCGCCCCGCCTCCTGACGGCCCCCTCAGCTGGCCGCGCGGAGCAGGGAGGACCCCGACTGAGGAAGAAACGCCGCCCCCAGAGCCCTCTGGGCTGGGGAGGCGACGCGCGGGGGAACGGGCGCCTGCGATCACCCCTCTGGCCTCAGTTTCCCTCTCTGAGCATCTCGCCTTGAACTCTGAGGAGTCGTCTGTGGGGGACATCTGTAGCGTCCTTGCTCTTGACGCCCGCAGTCATCTCCACACAGCCCTGGACAAGCCCTCAGCACCTTCCTTTTCCTCGCCTCGCGCCCTCAGTCTGCTCCTCTAAAGGGTCTAGCGTTCTGGCTCTCTCCTCACTCCCCATTCCGCTCTCACAGAGCGTCTGCCGCATCCTCCCACCCTCTGCTCCCCACTTCGCACCCGCCATCTCCCTGCCTTTCCTGGGGTTGTTTTCTGCGAAGTAGCCCTTTCACTGGCTCCCAGTTCCAAGTCTTCTCAATAACTTTACCTTGTATGAGGTCAAGTCAATCTAGAAATAACCCCCGGGACTTGTGGGTTTTCATTTGGGTTCCCCCTCTCCTTTTCTTTTTGGTAATATACACCCAGAAAAATCAATGCCTCAGGAATATTAAATAACAGGGTTGTTTTTTTTTTTTTAATTTTTTAAATGTGTATTACTCGTCACACACCCGGGAGCAATTAAAACAGATAAATTGGAACTTATTCCAAGATACTAAAACACACATATTAGAAAGTAAGAAAGTGGAACCAAGGCAAGGGACAAGCCATAAACATTAAATCTCTGTCACATTGGGGAATGTGGCTTTGGTAAATTACATGCCCTCTAGTTTCAGCTTAATGATTTGATTCTTGGGGTGGAAATGACCATTGATCAAAGTTTACCTAAGCTGTTAATTCTGTGGCTGATTTTGTTTTTGTGTTCAGTTTGGCTCAATTTTTCTCCTGTATCAGAACTTCAAGTAGAAAAGAAGCTTCCACAGAGGCAGTTTAAGATTACTTAGAAGTAAGCAATAATCCCTTCTCATTTTTGCTTAATATTATGCAGAGTAGTATAATTTGTGGAGATTTGCATAAATTCTTCGTTTTTATTTTAAGTTATGTTTTTTCTTTTACCATTCATATTTCAAAACTTCTTAAGTCAATTCTTGTTTTCTCTCTTGTCTTCTGATTATTTTCCTGTAGCTTCTTGTTTTAATTTTTCCACTGTATGATCCTTTGGAGTTCCATTATTTTAACTTCAACAATTATTGTTGAGTAAACCAGAGCATCTAAAGAAGAATAAAGAAATTCAACACCTGGATATAAATCAGTGATCCAACACCTCTCAAATTCTTAAGTTTTAGAAGAGGTGATAGGTGTTTCCTTTTCTTAGTTTGCCTGCCTTTTCCTATTCTATTGTTTCTTCCCTATTTCCACCTCCTGTTTTTTCTGGTCTTCCTCCTTTATTTATTTGGTCATATTTAAGAGAGCTCAAATCCTTTGTTGGATAAAATAAGTAAAATCTAAGAAGAGATCATTGATCAGGATACATTTAAACCAGTGTGGTTCACAATCTAATAGAGCTATGTCATTAGTTTGTAATTTTATATTCTAAATAAAGGTTTCTTTATGAGAAAATTTGAATTGGATAATACATTGAATTAGAAGATAATCAGAGTGTTATTTTTGTAGAACTAATGAAAAGTATTTTTGCTTACTATAAAATAGCACTGAAAGGTTTTACTATTCAAATTTTAAATACCTTTTAATGTTCTCTCTAGTTCGTAAAATACAACTAAGGAATACAGGCAACATGTTCTACACACATGTGCTTATGAGTAAGCGAGGGCCATTGGCCAAAATATGGCTTGCAGCTCACTGGGAGAAGAAACTCACAAAGGCCCATGTATTTGAATGTAACCTAGAGAGAACCATTGAAAAAATTCTTTCACCTAAGGTATGTTACCGATTAAAATGATAGTTTGTATTTGGCATAACTTGTGGAGAGGAACGGAATTAAAATATATTTATACTATGAAATATATTTCCAAGAACTTCTCAAATGTTCTCCTCTATTTTAATTCCTATAATATCTGAATATAAGCATAGATTGGTTTCTGTTGGTAATTAACGGTATCATATGTTTATCGTAAATAGATCAGACCCTAAAAGATAAAGGCCATGTTTTATATATATCTTGTCCTTTCTTATTCTCTAACAAAATACTTTATACATTTAAAAAAAAACCCATTTCCGTCAAGTCGATTCTGATTCATAGTGACCCTACATAGGACAGAATAGAACTGCCCCATAGGGTTTCCAGGATTCAAATTGCTAACCTTTTGGTTAACAGCCGTAGCTCTTAACCACTGTGCCGTCAGGGCTGCACTTATACGTAGGGTTGTTGTGAGGATTAAATAAACTAATGAATATAAAGTCTAGCCCGCTCCCTGATACACAGGTTTTCCATTATATTTCATCTTTCTCTCAAATAGAAAAAATATTTAACTTATAAAAATATGGCATCATTTTAAGAATTATAATGTAAGTCTTAATAGCAGTATAGTGTTTTATAAGGAATAGAGTATTGCTTATGAAGTGTTTTCACATATATTTTTATTCACACTCCATCTTTTTATTAATTATTTTTCTAAGAAATATATACCGCCTATGTATAATTAATGAATTAATGATGAGGGTAAAAGGAAAAAAATAATTCATTAATTATACAAAGGAGGTACATATTTCTTAAAAAAATAATAAAAAGATGAAGTGTGAATCAAAATATATGTGAAAACATTTCATAAACAATAAAGTACTGTATTCATTATAAAACACTGTACAGCTATTATTAAGATTTACATTATAATTCTTAAAATGATGCCATCTTTTTATAGGTTAAGTATTTTTTCTACTTGAGAGAAAGATGAAATATAATTGAAAACCTGTGTGTCAGGAAGCAGGCTAGACTTTATGTTCATTAGTTTATTTAATCCTCACAAAAAGCCTATGATGTGGGCTTCTTTTAGACTCAAAGTATGGTAGTTAAGAGCATGACTTTTGAGTTGGTCAAATTTTAATTTTGGCTCCACCACTTAATAGTTGTGATACTTTGGGCATGCTACTTAACATACCCAAGTATCAGTTTTTTCCTTCTGTAAATAGAGGTGATTGTCAAAATTCAATAAATTAATGTACAAAAAGCACAATCCCTAGCACAAAATAAGTATATACAGTAAAACCTGTGAAAGCCAGAACTGTGTGTAAGGCAGAAACCTGTCAGAGAAGAAAAACTTAAAATGTTTTCCACCAAAACAAGCAATAGAAAAGTGCTAAGACTGCGCTCTGTCAAAGTCAGAAAACTTGTGAGACCCGGAAAAACAAGGCAGTCCCCTGAAGTTCTGGCTTTCACAGGTTTCCCTATAATAAATTGTAGCCGTTATTAATAAACTGAAGGTTAGGAAGGTTAAGTGACTCAGCCTCAGCAAATGAGCCAAGGCTCGAACCCTACTCTACCTGACTCCAGAGTTTATAGTTAGTCTTCCCGTAATAGTGTTTACATGCCTCATTAAATTACCTTCATTGAATATGAAATAAAGTTAATAAATCATTTTAAAAGGTGAAGTAAAAAGTCATGTGAAATGCCTTTTTTAAAGAGAAGAAATTCTTATGATTTCAGAATTTTCAAAGAACGGTCTTACTGACCAACTTTTAAATATTCTAATACTTTAAAAATTATTGAAAGGTGAAAATTGCACTTCGAACTTCAGGACACCTTCTTCTGGGAGTTGTTCGAATCTATAACAGGAAGGCAAAATATCTTTTGGCAGATTGCAGCGAAGCATTTCTTAAAATGAAGATGACATTTCGCCCAGGTATATGTACAATATTGATTGCCTCTTCTTGGTTTCCTTTTGTATTTTTACTTCGGGTGGACTCTT